AACAAAGGACCATCTTAAACCAGCATCCCAGCGTCAAAACATACCTAACCAGCATATGCTGTTTTTTTCAACAGGGAAAGCACACTAATATCGTAAACCTGAGGTGAGAGATATAGCTAAGCATTAAACATCACTGTTTAATAGACCTAACGGGTGAAAATAAAGTTCTTACGATGCCACATGGCTTGGATTAGACTAGAGATTACTTTGCAGGATCCATTAAGGATTTTTGTAAATAAGGTTGCGCAATTAAAAAAAAACAAAACAAAACAATTTAACGCCTAGACATAATTTAATTTAGCAGCTAATTTAAGTCTAAATTTCATTTTAAATTTAATTTTTTCATTAATTGCAGCACTAATGTTTTAACCTGATATGTTAAAACGTAGTAGGTTATATTTATTTATTAACTATACTAGAGCCGTGTGCGCGCACACACAAACAGTGGTAAAACCCACAACACCTTTTGGTAAATTGTGAATCTGTAACACAATTGTGGATCTGAAAGAGCTAGAGCAGAGTTTCTCAACCAGGGGCTCATAATGGAACTGTACAATATTATTATTATTAATAAAAATAAATTTTTTAATTGGTGGTAGTGCTAGTGGTATGGTGCTACTTTGTCAAATTAGACTGCAGAAATATACAAATATAATAATAATGCCCTAAAATGTCTATTACTTATTCTATTTTGATTAATCAAAGCAACATTAATATATTAGTGAAATATAAGACTATCTTTCTGTTCAGTATTAATGCATTACATTACATTAGTATTAGTAGTTACCAATGCCAAAAGAACAGATTCTACAGTGTGCTTTGCTGACCATAATGTTTAATATATCTCTAAATGATAAAATGATAGTTTGAGCATGATGGGAATTACATTTGATATGGTATATGGTGTGTGTGTATATATATATATATATATATATATATATATATATATATATATACCATACACTTGCATAACAGTTGTAGACCTCTCTTGGCCAACAGAGGGAGCCATAACTTGAGAAGTGTTACACCCTTTTGTTTGCTGGTTGAAATCCTTACAAATTCGAATGAAATGGTCATACCTGCACTTGATGATAAACCTGTCTTTGTATTGTTTTGAGTTTAATCAACGCATATTTATGTTTGCTATGATAAAATAAATAAACATGCAAAGATCTTTTCTTTAATAGACATAAAGACCAGCTTTATTTTGTCCCATTACTTCATGACCAAAGAAAACTTTAATCCAGTGCCCCTGTAAATTCATAGATTTAGGTGTGCTATTCATTACTAGTAAACAGACAATACGTACCAGTTCTTGAAAATGTAAATGTCAGACAAACCAAATGTTATTTTGATTCTGTAGTTACTGCAAACAAGAGTGTATTCTTACAAGAGAGTGAAGAGTAGGCCTAAGCACTAATTTCAGCATATAAATTATGAACACGATTTTTTAATCTTGGCAGATGCATCCCACATCAAATTAATTTAAAACTACAACTAACTAAAAAATGTATTAGCTTCATGCATTTTAACTATTTGTTGATTCCCAGTGCAGTTGCAAATGTCTGATTCCTAATTTAATTCTAATCATAAACCAATGTAAGGCCATAGTGTTACAAAACAATGTTGTAAAGTTCCTGCTTTCATGTTGTGCCATTTTCCATTTCTTTAGGAATACGCCTAAATCCAGACCTAGAACTTTTTCTGTGATGTATATCTAAAGTATATTCATTCAAACATTTACTTTAAGGCAACTGTAAGTCATTACTTTAGATGTGCAAACCGAATATTGCAAATTTAGCAGTCAACAAACAATAAACTATGGATTAACAGTGATAAAAATAAAATATAGACCGATTGTGTTGATTGCCACTATTGCAGGATGTTGCATATATGTTTTTTTTTTTTTTGTCTTGGCCCTAAATTTATTTATTTGTATTTTTTTTTGCACTTAAAATATATAAATGTCATGGTATTAAATACAAAATATCAGACCAAGTGGTATTTATTTTTTAAGGAAGATAGCACACTCACACAAAACATTTGGCAAAAAAAAATATATGGTTTGTTTTTAAATTATAAAATAACCAATATACTGTTTAAAATAAGACTTTAAACATGGATGTTAAATCGTAGTGGATCATGATCAAAAATCAAATTCAAATTATTTGTTTGCAGATGCCACTTGATTTGATATTTTTATTATCTCATGGCAATAAACCCATACATTTTAAGTGTGGCTTAAGCGTTCAAATACTTAAAGGGGTCACTGTATATTTGTGACTATTTAATCTGTGATATATTTAAACAAATTAGCAGAACCCCCTGAGATCAGCTCTGTAACAAGCTTCAAATTGCTAATATTATAAATCAAACAATGCATGTTAAAGGATAAGAGGTCCGAGGTGTTTTTGTTGTTTTATTTACAGGGAGCAATATAATTAATTTCTGAAGCATGTAGTTTTGTTAATTTATGATTAGAAATATGTCAAATGCATTTTGTTTTCATTAAATAATTGGTGAAAAGTTCGTCCTTAGATGCAAAGACCTTCTCAAGATTGTAAACCTTTTATAGGTGGCTACTGTATGCATGTTATCCCATCAAGCAATGTTTTAAAAGGGATCCTTAGCTGGTTTTGAGTCAAATGTTTTAGGATTAAAAAGGCAATTACATGTAGGTAGCGTCCTTTGTCAATACCATACTGAAAGATGCATAAGTGTTTTTGTTCCAATGTAATGTCTGAGACACAGAAAATCTCTGGCTTAAAGAGAAGAAAAGCTCCCTCTGTTGTATCCGTTCACTAAATCGTAGGAGACCGAAGGAGCGGAGCAGTCTGTAAAGAAGTTTGAAAAGGTAAGTGCACATGGCGAGCTCTGTTCCACAGGCACGCTGCCAGAAAGGTCTGTGTGAGTATAAAGATTTGGCTGTACTGGTACTGTCCGCATGTCTCCTGACTTTTTGGGGGTGCTGCTACAAGTGCCCCAAGGCTCAGTGTACAAGAACCCACCACTTACAAAATGGTGGGAGTCATATGGCTCGGGGCCCACAGTCACCTCCTGTTGAATCCTGATAGGTGCGGTGTGGAATAGATCCTGCTCCGAGACAATGTTGCTGTAGTCAGGTCCAAGAAGCTCCAAGAACTCTGCTGCATCCAGAGTCCCTCGCTCCAGGTCTTTGAGCGACATGCCAGAAGTAGATGTAACTCTGGAGCTGTTGGCCGGCTCCGTGAAGAAGGATGGAGGAAGGTTCCGATGCCGCAGCAGGGGCTTCTTGGCCCTCTCTCCTCGTACATCCTTCGCCGAGTTGAAGAGGGCAGCCAAACTCTTGCTTTGCAGGTTGGCCTGTATCCCATCCTTCTTGGGAGGCGTTTTGCTGGAGAGGTTGCTTGTTGGGTTATGGGGCGAGCCTTGCCTCTTACATGGCTCCTGAACCGGCGTGGTCCCTGGCGAGATGATTCCCGTGCACCTCTTAATCTGCTTCTGCAGGTACTTTCGGTGGTTGACTTTCCTCTTGGACTTGACAGGTTTGTCCAGTGCAAGTTTGATGTTGCTGGAAGCCGAGTCGATGAAGCTAAGTAGGTCTCTAGTGGTCTCCTTAAAGTCACACTCGCAGTCCACCTCACCCAGGAGACCCCCTTCCAGACCCCTTTCCACCTCATAATCCATGACCGAGCCAGGAAAACAAAAGTTTAAGAACTGCGAGTTCATGATGGCAGCCTGAACAGCCATCTCTCTCTGCCACATGCACAACACCTTCGCAATGAATATATGCAATTGTCTTCGAGAGACCCTAAAGCATATTTCTTATCTGCATTTGCAGGGTGGTTTGCTAACCCTTGGTCCTGTGCAGGACACCCTTACAGTTCCTCTGCAATCTGCCGAAAGCTGGAATTTGGGGGAAGGGAGGATTATTTTAGGGGGCAGGGCCAATGATGTCAGGACATCAAAGGGGAGGGGCAGAGGGACCAGAAGACTTAACTCTTTGCTCACACCTGACCAGCTGCAACTAAGAGGGATTTGTCTGAGGCATCCCACAGAGTAAAAAGACAATAGTCTTGGGTTCATCTGTTTTGGTCAAGTCTGCTTGTATATGTGTATATACACATTTTTTAATATTAAATCATTGAGAACAGCTACATTGGACTGTGCTCAGGGCATCTGAATTTCTTGTTAAGTTTTACTTTTTACATTTGTTTTAATCTTTTGAAATGGACATAGTTTAATAGTTTGTAAATTAAACATCCAACTCAAAATGTTAAAACATGAATGATAAAATATCAAATGTTTCCAGACACAACAATGTAGTTTATACATTGTTCAAGCTAGTTTAAACAATAATGAAGTACAAATACCACTCTGAGGTCTTTAAATGATTGTTGAAATAAAATAAAACTTGCTGGGAGATTATAAAGTTGTTTAGTTTTAAGCTGGACTGAATAATACTGGACACTGGGCATTGTGTACGTTTCGTGTAATGTGATCTACATTTTATATTCTTGTCCACATGTCTCACAAAATTTGTATGCATATATCATATAAACTTGACAAGACATTCACAACATGTGGTTAGGTCCCGAATAAAGGTAAATGGAAATACATGCTTTGGGACAGGTTTTTCTACATGTTCCTCTAACTTCCTACAACTATCACAATCTGTTCGCAATGGAAGTTGATTTCTCGTGCATTCCTGCACCAGTGGGAATTTTAGCCTCTGCCTGACAACTATTATAGGCTGCCTTTGACATACAGCCCTACATGGTCTAAATAGCTTCTATTCTTCCTTGGGCAGTGAAAGGGATCTTTGTGCCAGAGATTCATTAAACTGCACCTCACAGCCCCTTCGTAAAATGAGGCTCAATAATGAACAGTCGATTTAACTAGAAAAGCTGCCGGAGCTGTTAAATTAAAGGGTGCCAGTGTGCCAGAAGAAATGTTGACCTTAAGAAATCCTGGGTATGAGCGAAATAGCCGCTGTAAACAATTCAGCATTTGCAGGAAGTTTCTTGGCCAGCAGTGAATACTGAGGAGAGATCCAAGACTGGAACTTTCGTAGGGGTCTGATCGGATCCTGATTTCAGTGAAAGCACTTAAAGGATGTAACTCTGGTTTGGAACATGGTGGGCTTAGAAAGAAAACACTCGAGGATAGTGGGAGTGTTTGAATAAGGTGAGATTTCCATCATTCAGTATAACAAGGATAATGTTTGATTTTGTGTTTATCTCAATAAAATAGCCCAGAAACAAGGATTTTTGCTCATTTATACTTTTGGCCCAAAGCGTTGACATTTTAGTCATTTAGGACTTTTAAAATATTTCATGTCAAAAACCCATGTATATTTTTCTCACTTATCTATCTTTCGAGAACTCACTAAGCAGACTAATGTTAAGTTAGTTAAAATGTCCTTAATCTGATCTGATTCCGATTCAGTCCACTAAACTGTACTTTCCCAGACATTAAACACATTTATAGCAGCCCTAATCACATTTCTTTTTTTATCACATTCATTGCACTTTGCATGTTGTGAAATCATGTGCCAATGGACAGTTTCTGCCATACCCTCTTTCTCTCTCACTTTGAGAGGTTTTCCCAGGGATTTTTTTATTCCCACCCCATAAATGCATTTTAAGGTGAGGCAGTGAATCATTTAGATGTTGGAAAGGGGAAAAAGGAGAAAGTCTAAGCACTTTAGAGAGAAGGGGACCGTCAAGAGTGTTATTATCATGCAAATTGTGATGAAGAAAAGAGACAGTGAAACTGATAGCAGTGATCTAATTATCTGTAGCCCGGCTCAAGCCCTGGTCCTGAATGGGGGTCCCAGAGAAGCTGCCATGGCCTCACAATAAAAAGTTGTACCACAATAGAAAAATGGCAACAGTGTAAAAACAGGCTTTTTTTATAGGATTCGCCTCGACATTTCCAAATTTAAGGCTATTTTAAACCACACAGATGTCCATTCCCCTCACACAGAATAAAGTGACCACTGTGATATGATAATGGTCAGATTGTTATGCTTAAAATATAATTTGTTATGAAAAAAATATAAAAGTTAGAAAAATGCTAAATAGTTTTGCATTTAATTTTAACAAGTCTATACTCTATCTCCTAGACATGAAATAGTCATTTCATTATCAGTTATTATTATTATTATTATTATATTGTTTGAATTATTTGTAGGATTAAAGTTTAGCTAAAAACTAGTCCAGCTAGGAAATTGGGTAACTGGGATAATAAATTATATTTTTGTTTTGTTTAGATATTTTCTCTAGCAGACTACTGCTTTGAGCAATCAGAATTAAGTATTCCAGAGGGCTGTGTAATAAATGGATTTATTTTAACTTTTGTGAATTAATATGAACTCTGTTAAAAAAAAAAGCAATATCTTTAAGACATAACATTAAACATCAAGTCCCTGGGGTATATACTCGGCCCTTTCATTTTCTTTTTCAACAAGCACCCCCTCCCCACTTTCTTCTGGAGCCTAATTTTGGCACAGTGACATCACCAGACTAATGGCTGATATTTTCTTCTCTTCCCGCACAGAGCTTTTGTACATGCTAGTCATTCATGTTTAAGGGCTTGACGCACTAATTCCGGAAACAAGTTTCTATGGCCACATAATGGCTGAGGGGATCAAAGAGGGTGAGCAGTAGAATACTGACACCAAAAAAAGAAGAAAGAATTGTGTGACATTAAAGAACAGAAACTAGGGGGATTCCTAAACACTTGCAAATGTGCAAGTTACACTGGCCAGCCCGACGAATGAGGTTGAAAGTATATAAAAAGTTTTTAAATGCACTGAGTACTTTATTTTTACATGAAATAATAAAAGAAGATTGCTAGCATATCGGTGTGTAATCCTGAATACTCAGTAAAGGAATTGCAAGTATTTTATTATTGTTTTTTTTTTTTACTTTTTTTAAAAGAAAAGTTAATTTATAACTGATTTTTTCAAAATCAACAAGGATAAAGATATTACATTGAACTTAACATATGACTTGATATTTTTAAAATAGTTTTTCTTTTTATCATCTTGGACAGCTTTAATTTGTCACCCCGAATACATATTTGCCTAGAGCATCCGATGATTTGGTCCTTGCATGAGTAGAAATTGAAATCCAGGAGAAAACACTTGTGGGAAAACAAATTATAAAGAAGAAAAAGCAATCAACAAGGTCAAACTAAGTTGAACAAACTCAGCTGGGGGAAGAACAAATGAGACGGCCATGGGAAAAACATTCATCTTTCCGCATTCGATTCACATCCATGGAAAGCTGCTTAAGCAAACGGACCATTGAAAGTGAGTATTGTTTGGTTATCGTTGCACACAGCACACCCCGCCCTCCACCCAGGGAATTTACAAACTCAGCACCCACGCTTTTTTAAACCCCACTCCACCTCATCCCCCCCACACACACACATCTTTTCCCATTGGTGTGTGGTCCCAGTTTGACCATCAACACATCCAGCACTAAAGACTCTCAGTCAGCGAAATACTAGTAACATATTTGATTTGATTGATGAAACTGTCAGGTGAGAAGAAAGGATGTTAAATTAATGGCAACAACACGGTCCTGAGAAAAGTCCAATATTGTTGAAACCCACACCAATTACCCTTGATGTTTGTCTGCATTTGGATGTTGGAAGTAATCAGAAGTTATTCAGAAAACTGAAGATTTTGTTTAACTGCTTTACAACTTTGAGAAATCTTGTAATTGTACAAATTTAGTGTCCTCTATGCAAGCAGTTACTGGGATTGAGGCTGGGAAAATTTAGTTGAAATATCCTTCAAAGCATCCAGACATTTTGGGACACTTTTCACTTTACAAGTCGGACTTCCAAACGTAAATGGATTTTATTCAAGAGTCACAAGCACAAGGAAAAATGCCTTGTTGTGTTACCGTGTCAGCAACAAACATCAATATTCAAGGGGGTAATAGATTCTCCTTGCGCACATTAAAATTGGAAATATATTTAATGAAGTTAACAATACACACAATTTAACTAACATGTTCAGAAAGATTCTCTTTAAACTGTTGCTCCGGCATAACAGTAGTTCTGTCATGACAACTCTTGGAGGGATTGGCATGGTAATGTACATGACAATGTTAATATAATTGTACCGAGACTTGCTACTGCCAATACATCCACAACATGCTGCTGTGAGCATGTAAGAAATATTGCTGCTGCAAATATAACATACATGAAATAACCCCCAGCATACATGAATACATCGTAGCAGATCTATACAGGTGGAGCTGGGGAAGGTGGAGAATTTCTGAAGCAAGCTGCAACTGCTACGGCAAGCACTAGTCATGTATTTGAATGTTGAGCAGCGAGCTCATTGGCTACCGATACAGAAGAGAACCAATCAGCTGTGCCATGTGATAATGATGTCATTAGGTCAGATTGAGTTAGACCTATCGGACTGCGGCATCTAGAGTTTCATGCCAGAACTCTGTATTTAACCTAAAAGAGAAAACCGACCATAGTAGAAGGACCTTTACTTTAATATCCGTTATATAGCCCCTTTGGCAACGCTAAGAATGCAACATTTACTTGGGTTGCATGATGTGGGGCCATTAACGCAGGACACATTCTGTCTGTTATGTTTTAACCGTTGGTTTATGTAAACCTGAAATCAAATAACAAACTGGTGTGACATCATTTCAAAGAAAATCTAGACAAACCTATAGTTTTCGGAGTTTGTTTTGGTGGTTCGATACAGCTTCCCAGCACAAATTTTGCGCTGACTGGTAAACACCTTCAAATTCCCATTAGTCCATGATGATTACGGAATAGGTGAGTGTGTTCTGGGGTCCGCCTACTTTGACATGAGATTCTTGTTGAGATCACTCGTTCCATTGATGTCAGACAATATGAATACACTAGAGTACTGAGTTGCAGAGCTGGTACAAATGTATTTGAACCTCTATATTCACTCATGTAGATGCTTTAAAGTCACAATGAAATAAAAATTTACAATTCTTATTTTTATGGAATATTGCAGTATTTATTATAAATGTATTATAAATTCTTCAGGTACCCTTTAATCAAAAACATTACTGTCCCCTTGCAATGACATCTCTTGATGACGTGTGCATCGACGCGAGGGCTGGACAATAATGGTGTGTTCCATTTGTAATCAAAAATAGGAAATTCCGAGTTCCCAGTAGGAACTTTTAACTCCTCCCAAGTTGGAGTTCCGACTTGGAATCTCGGAGGATTTGCAACAACTCCAACTTCGAAATCCAATAAGGATGCTCAGTGTATCAACACAAGAGAAACAGTAGTAATGTCTTGTTTATTAGCACTTATGTTTGTCAGTAGCTATGTTTCCATCCACCTATTTTTATGCGCATTTTGGATTATCGCATAAAAACCGCTGGATGGAAACGCCAAGATGCGCATAAATTCTAAAAATGCGCATAAAAAACTTATGCACACAACTGAGTAGGATAAAAAATGTTTTCCGATAAGAAAAAATGTGCATAAACTACGATGGAAAAACATTTACCGAATAAATTTCACCATGCGCTTTGAAAAAGTAATGTGACTTTGCTCTATGAGATGGGATAACTGGACTAGTAGTGGACCGATCTCGTTCACAGCATCTATATGTTGTTTTGGTCATTCTGAAATGCCTGAGGAAAGTCTGTCATCAAAGTATTTCTGTATAATTACTGTCTTACATGACTGCGTTCCCAAACAGCAGGCATCCACCTCTAAAAGCAATGAACGCATTTATTGTGTTACGTCTGCTCTCTCTGAAGGTCAAGTAATTTATTACATATGACAATTATTATATTCAGTGGCTTCTCCTAGTTTTCTTAGATATTTAGTGCCAGTTATCAGGAAGTGACGATTTTGTTCCCTTTGACTTTTGGATGGAAACGGTGCTTTATTCACAAATGTTTTATGCAATATTCCAGTTTTGTGCATAAGTTAAATTTGCATCTTTGAATGGAAACATATAGCTTGTGTCTCACTAAACTCAGTGGTGCACACAGTATTATCCAATCTCTATGTGGACATGATACTATGGCATTATCTGTGCAAAATACTGCTTTCAATTGACTGGTATTGCTAACAATGGACGCGTCCATCTTGGTTTTCTGACTTCTCTACTGGAACTCGGTCCACTTGGGGAGGATGTCATTCCCAGCTCCAACATCCAAATGCATCTATGCTCCGAACGCAGCATATGGTTGTCCAATAGCCAGATGAGTTTCAATCCCTCCTCTCCAGCAACCTGTCACTCAACATGAGAGGATAACAAGCCAATTTCTGTTGGACAAAATCACAAATTTTTTGTCTTGTTTAAGAAGTAATTTCACTTGGATATATGTCACAATAGAGAAAAAAAGTTGGTTGCAATTTCTGGTTAGTGCCAACTTTAAAGGTTCAAAGATAGCCTGTAATTCCTGCTATTGAGATGATCACATCACATATTAACCCATTAATACCCATCTAAACATGGGGTGGGCAGTGTCGGAATGCTCAAAAACATTACACTGTTGCTGAGCTAACTTCTTTTCATCCATGAGTGAAGAATAAATAACAACTTTGTGAGTATTGTTGCGAGTATCTAAGGGCCTTTATTGTTTCAGTATTACAATACTTTCTCCTAACTCAGCATAATATAAAAATACAAGCAAGCAGTAGAATCCCCCCAAAAGTGTAACTACTGTGGCCTTGCAGCACTATCAATACTTTTCATTGTTTAAGCCTCCTGACTAAACTGATATAGCAACAGTGGTTCAGCCAATGGTGTAAGTTTGGGGCAGGGCTATCTATTTATCTGACCAATGGCAGATGAGAGTTGTTTTTGAGAAATATGCTTGAAAACAATCACTCTTTTTGCTAATTCTGTTTAATAACACTAGTGGCACCGAAATTACACACTTTAAATGACACACTAATCCCTTTAAAGTTACTTTCAGCCTATGTGGAAAATAACCAGAAAACGGAATGAACAAAACACTGAACTGTTCATATTTCAGAGAACAACAAAGCGAAAATCATCATCCATCACCTCAAACACATCTACTCCTGCTCATGACCTTCCCCAACCCCACAAAACAACCTGCTCTGCACTCTGGCTGTGACATTAATAATAATATTAGCAGGTGGCAGCTCGGCACAGAGCAGATGATGTCTACGTACCGCAGTTTGGAGAAGCAGGAGCTGCCAGTGAGTGAATGCAGGTCTGGTGGAGTCCCGCAGGTCCCCGCATGGGGCACAATCTCTGTGTTTTACACCACATGCCTCCCGCTATCTACGTTATTACTCGTTGTCTGTCTTTAGGTTTTCATTAAATCACACTGGAGCAGCAATTGAGGAGTAACAGGAAATGGGACGTGTACACTTACTTCCATTCATGTGCATTTATTCTGTTATTCATGTTCATGCATCATTTCCATTAAAAATAGTGCAACATTAAAAAAAAAAAAAACCACCAGGTAACACCAACCAGCTAGTACAAGCATAAGTATACACAGTTTGTTCAGAAAACAGTAGACTTGAGGTGATTATGTCTGTACATTGAAAATAACACTATAGATCCAGCTAATTTCAATGACTAATTCAGACTGTTTGAGTTCTAAATAGTAGAAATTATTCTTAAAATGTTTCAATTGAATAAAAGGAATAGTTTACCCCCAAAAATGAAATTTCTGGCATCATTTACTCACACTCTCGTTCCAAACCTTAATGATGTTTTTCCATGGAACACCAAAGGAGTATGAAGAATGTTCATATTGTTGTTTTCTATGCAACAGAGGCATGTAGCAACCAGGGTGTGCTGTTAAGCTCCAAAAAGAACAATATAGAAACATAAAACCAGCATAAACATTGTCTACATCACTATATTCCAAATATTCTGAAGATTTACTAAACCTTTGTGAGAAAAACACATCAAAATGTAAATTATCCCCTTTACTGCGGTTTTCAAATTATAAGTTTGGTTCTTGTATGTCTAGTAACCAATCACAACACATAACATTTTAAAAATGTGGAACTCTAAATATGGTACACGAGTCATATGGACTCATTTTTTTGTCCCTTTCTTCTAGAAAAAGTTTCCTTTTGAGTTCCTGGAAGAAAACAATCATATGAGCTTAAAAAGATATTAGGGTAAATAAATGAGTGCATTTTAATTTCTTGTGAACTATCCCTTTAAAATGTAGCATACTTCAGTTAAGAACCATAGCTGACTGTGAATATGTATGATTAGTATTGCTACAATTCAACTTTAAGATTTTGGCACAGCACACTTCCCCAGAGTGGTTTTGCATTTGGTGTTTTCTGACACTTTCAGTTCCTTACTTTTCTTCAAAAATCTACTGCACATTCTTGGTTTGAAAACACACATAAACACACACACACACACACACACACACACACACACACACAAACAAACAAAAAACAAAACAAAACAAGGAACATTATTATCCCCAAAAAGAACTTATCATCCACTCCCCGATAAAAACTGTATTTTTTCCACTTAAGTACCAAGTAAATGAACTCTTGACCCCTAACTTTGGCACATAGCAAATAGTAACGGTTCATTTTGTGTTTCTTGTTTCTTAAAATTTTCAATGATCTTGATTCCATATCATTGTGTAGTTGCTGCCTGATTGAGCCACTGCTTGAAGTAGCGTACTTCTAACGCCCGTGTTTTGATAACTGACTCTGGGTCAAACTCGTTGCTGTAGCGCAGATCAAGGTGGTGAGCACCTCCATCGATCATAATGGCAACCAGAGATTCTGAAAGACTCGTGGTCACTCCACCGCTCATCCATGGATCAAGATTTCCATTACTGAAAAAGACGACACAACTTTAGGTCCATAGTATCACCAAATATAGTATATGTACCCCAACTAGAACATATAAATGGAATGTTTCAATTACAGTCCAAAAAACACTAGCTATATTCCAAAGCCTAGTGAGCTGCCTACTTAGAAAGCCTTATAAGCTGGCATACATAGATCCCCAACAAGAAGGTTGTTCAAAACTTTCTAAAATACCATGTGATGCACAAATTTTGAGGCAACATCTCATGTAGGCTATGCTTTGTTGGGAAGGTCATACCAGAATACATTGCAACAGCATCAGTTGCAACTATTAACTATTTTACTTAGTCTCTGTTGTGTATTTTTATGGGGAGTATTACACCATTAGCTTAGTAACATGCTAACATTAAACCACATTGAAATCAGTGTGTTGTTCCAAATCAGATATTTATGAGATTCATAATGTTTAGGATGCTGCCTACACTATGTAGGCACATGACAACAAGGCTTTTGGAACAGAACTAAGATCTAAACCCCAAACTGAAAATTTCCTCAAATCAATTTCTTTTAATTATGGTAGGAAGTGAAAAATGAATGCAGTGCTTAATATTATATAAACACAAAAGGTCCTACCTGAAGATGATATTGCTGTGAGCACTTATGTTTCTCCCACCGTATACAATTTCTGCCCAGTCTTCCCGTGGCCGCACTCCAAACTGGTTGTAGCACTCATCTGAGAAGGCCTGGAAGTTCCATGGCTGTGGCTCAAACATGTCAATGATGCCGTCTGTACACATTGGCATTACCATCTCTGTGCAGCTCTGCAAATACGACACCATATCATAAAATGTTCAACAACATGATGTTAATATCCAGAAATTAGCTTTTTAAACTTATAACAGATTAAAATACATAGAAAATGACATAAAACCAAGGTTCACAGCAAAACTCAGACAGCTTCGTCAAGCCAAAGAGGATGCCTACAGGAGCGGGGACAGAATCTTGTACAATCAGACCAGGAACACACTGGCAAAGGAGATCAGAGTGGCTAAGAGGAGCTACTCTAAAAAGCTGGAAAACCAGTTTTCAGCAAATGATCATGCTTCAGTGTGGAAAGGCCTGAAAGACATCACAAACTACAAGACACCATCCCCCAGCAAGTTTGGATTTACTTCACCAATATTACAACCAACAGCGGAGATGCATCATATACAACAGGTGACAGCGCCAACTACTGGCCTGCCATACGTAATACAGCGTTTTTGGCCGTTTTTGCGGATATGCATAAACACGAATCATTTTGAAAACGTTGTCGTGTATCCGAGAAACTTTTTAAAAACGCAAGGGAAAAACTTTTCTGTTTTTGACTACATCGTTGTCGTGTAAATGTAGCCTAGGATTTCTTTAACATACAACAATGACAAACCATGACTCACAGCAAAACTCAGACAGCTTCGTCAGGCCAAAGGGGATGCCTACAGGAGTGGGGACAGAATCTTGCACAATCAGGAACACACTGACAGAGAAGATCAGAGTGGATAAGAGGAGCTACTCTAAAAAGCTGGAAAACCAGTTTTCAGCAAACGACTCTGCTTCAGTGTGGAAAGGCCTGAAAGACATCACAAACTACAAGACACCATCCCCCAGCACTGAGGCGAATCAACAACGTGCTGAAGATCTGAATGAGTGTTACTGCAGATTTAAAACTCCTGGTCTCACACCAGATCAGTGACGATGATGTGTGTCAGGTCTTCAGAAAACAGAAGACAAGAAAAGCACCAGGCTCAGATGGTGTTTCACCAGCCTGTCTGAAAACCTGTGCTGGCCAGCTGGCCCACATCTTTTCACAGATCTTCAACAGATCACTGGAGCTGTGCGAAATCCCTTCCTGCTTCAAACACTCCACAATCATCCCCATTCCAAAGAAACCCAAAATCACAGGACTTAATGATTACAGACCTGTGGTCATGAAGTCGTTTGAGAGACTGGTGTTGGCCTATCTGAAGGACATCACTGGACCCTTACTGGACCCCCTGCAGTTTGCTTATTGAGCAATTGACAAGTCTGTCAATTGATCACCATCTCTCTGACAGATCGGCAACTGTTAGTGAGACTATCAAGAATTGATGTCAAACAGTCGCACCATCAGCAGCACTGGCACCCCCCAGGGATGTGTGCTCTCCCCACTGCTCTTCTCCCTGTACACCAACGACTGCACCTCTACTGACCCCTCTGTCAAGCTCCTGAAGTTTGCAGAAGACACTACAGTTACTAGCCTCATCCAGGACGGTGATGAGTCTGCATACAGAAGTGAGGTTGAGCAGCTGGCTGTCTGGTGCAGATATAACAACCTGGAGCTGAACACACTCAAAACAGTGGAGATGATAGTGGACTTCAGGAGAAACCACCCAGCACTACCCCAGCTCACCATCATGAACAGCACCGTGGCTGCAGTAGAGTCATTCAGGTTCCTGGGCACCACCATCTCTCAGGACCTGAAGTGGGACACTCACATTGACTCCATTGTTAAAAAGGCCCAACAGAGAGAAGTTCAAGCTGCCACAGGAGATGCTCACACAGTTCTACTCAGCCATCACTGAGTCTGTCCTGTGCACTTCAATAACTGTCTGGCTTGGCTACAAAATCAGATATCAGAAGACTACAGAGGACGGTTCGGACTGCTGAGAGGTTTATTGATGCTCTCTTGCCCACCCCCTTCAAGAACTGTATCCAGAGTGAGGAAAGGGGCTCAGAAAATCACTCTGTCTGGATCCCTCACATCCAAGCCATCTCCTTTTTGAACTTTTACTATCTGGTCGGCGCTACAGAGCACTGAACACCAGGACTGCCAGGCACAAGAAAATGTTCTTCCCTCAGGCAATCTACCTCATGAACAGTTAAATGTTCTACCCTACTGTACAATAAGAAAAATGTGCAATACCACTTTTATTTACTTAATACTGCCCTACATCTTATTCCATTCCTTGTAAATTATATTCTAATCTATCTATAGAATAGTGCCGACGTCACAATCATGTCACAGCATTAGCTCGAGGCAAAACAAAGGGATAACTAAATTTATCAAATACAAACCAGCACAGAATCAGCTACATAAGGAGCGTAAAATGTCATCTTGTTGTGTTGTTAAGTGTCAGAATCGATGGAGTACAGGCTCCAATTTGAAATTTTATCGCATACCTGCTGCCATTGCCAGACAAAATACCGACAACAGCTGTGGTTAAAGGCAATAAAACGAGCAGACTAGACAGAAACGATCATCAAAAATGCTCACGTTTGCAGCGCACACTTGATATCAGTTAAGGATAAATAAACTGTTGTCTTTTATGGATTATGGTTTGGTTACGAGTCTAAAGATTGTCAGGTCACTCCTGCCAGATCGTCCATCCATTGAGTGAGTGTGTACGAGTCGGCCAATCCGGTTCCTTCCGTTAAAATTAACATTTTCAAATAACAATCATGATCCCAGACAGTGAGTGACATTACATATTCAGATCAAATCAAATTTTCTCTAGCTAGCTGGCATTAGTGAACCTCCACCTAAGCTCCGCCCATAAAAAGATCACAGTGTTAACTAACTGAAAAAGGGTCTATATACCACAACTGTACATACAATTTTAGTCTATTTATGTTTATTGTTGTTGTTGTTGTTGTCTCTGTGTACTGGAAGCTTCTGTCACCTGAACAAATTCCTTGTATGTGTAAACAAACATACTTGGCAATAAAGCTCTTTCTGATTCTGATTAAAAGTACCACAAAGGTCATCAATCAAATAGGTTTGATCAAAAATCAAAGGTCAAATCATAAAGTCATCCTACAATAACTTTGTGGGAAAAACAGACCAAGTGTGACCTAACGGGCCAAAGATTTCCAAGCAATTTTCTGTGAATAACAACTTCAGTTTTGTTCTGTTCTTAAGTCATACCTATCATTTGACATTTGAAATTTGGAATACATCACAAACAATTTCATAGTACTTTTTGAAATTTTTGGAGCTCAACTGGTTCCTTCCCTAATTAATTTATATGTATGGAAAAGAACAGCATCATAATTCTTCATCAACATGTGAATTTAAATAAAACAGAATGCAAGGACCTATATTACTAAATGTGACCTTATCGAGTCAAACTTCCAAATTTTACCTGGTAGTACCAACCAAGTAAGCCCAGATTCCCAGTAGCGGTTTGTGAGGTGTTGAGACAGACTGCATCTCCCGTGTAATTGTAGTACACTTTTACGGCAAGAGAGATACCATTCAACAGCTGTTTGTCTGATACACCGGTATCAAAATGAAGATTTTTGCACACCACCTGAGAATCAGAAAAACACATGCAAATCACAGAACAAACAGCTGGCTTTATGTTCAGAGAGATGACAACAGTTCAGCTTTATTGCATAACAAAGGCGCAAATTACATTCTGCAAACAACCAAAGCTTTATCTGCATGAAGATGTCCCATAAGTTCCAGTTCTTTTAAAACAATCTTGCTGTGAAAATCCCCCATGCAGCTTTTTTTGTGGAATCATCTGATTTGCATGTGAAATTGAGTGGAATGGAATTCTGCTGGAGTGGAATGTATCACAGTCAAGCTGGAACAAAGTAAGAACGTTTCAAAGACAAAGAAACCTTGACAAATATATCAAGCTATGGAGTTATCTACAGAAACTAGCTCCACATGAAATAGGACTGGAGCACAATCATGTCATAATGCAAATATGTGTTGCATTGACAGTATTGCCACAAGAGGTGCTATAAAGAGAATTGATCTAAATTGCAAATGAATGTTACAGTTCTTATTGTGAATGATTCATTGTGTTACGTTTATTTAAAAAAAATGACCTTGTAAAGGTCAAAATCTTAAGTTTAAACCCCATTCTTCCACAATCAACCGTAAGTTTGAATTTATTTTTGAGTGCAACGCCAACACCTCAAAGTCCAATCAACAAACAACAGATAGAACCAAATCCCCGGCCTGCATATTTTATTTGTGTTTCTCAATAATCCATTACACTCAGATGTTCATCACAATATGGAAGAAAAGATCTGTTGCTACTTCCATTTCATCTGGACTTCAACGCAAACTGTCTCCTACAATCCGTTTTCTCTTTCATTTCAACTACTGTGATAGTGAAGAATTTTTGTGTTTGCTAAATGTTGCAGTTAAGCTAGCTACCAGAATAATGACAAATTTTGTTTGTGGCCATAAGGTAATACTATCGCCACCTTGAGTACTGTTGTCTGTAATCGCAAATGTTTCACCATCGTTCGCGTCTTTGTGGAGAATTTTCCACTCAATCACACAGATTCCTACTAAAATGACTTCAAATGCGAAATTTCGCCATGCATCGGTAAATGTGACCACAATTTTACCCATTGTTATCTCTACAGATTAAACTAGGATAGTAGAATTTATTTTAACATTGCATCCCACATCACACACATTAACACACATCACCCTTAACGGGATGTCATGTTTGATTTTGAGGTTGTTGCTAACCTTTTCTTCCAAGATGGTGGTCTATGCTACACGCATGTCCGAGCAGAGATTTATACTATGACAAAACCAGCAGAGGCTGTCCAAAGCACCTTCTCTCTACTTTTCAGATGGGATTAGGCTTACACATTCATCTCCAGCAACAGATTTCCCACTCCTAAGCCTTCAATACCCCCTTTTCTCAGTCACTCACATAATCACATTAGCTTTGTCAGTAAAAAGCCTCTTTGCACCCACTGCCTAAACTGCTTTAACCACACATAGGGGTTGCATACATTATGAGATTTGAGGGGGGGGAAGAAAACTACTCAAGAGTAAACCATCTGAGCTTTTGCAAAGTCTACAGTCTGCATATTCATATGTACTAGAGAAAAGCTACAGTTACCAACAAAAAACAAAGAAGACAATGTACCTAAAAGCTCCTAAATAATAAAAAAAATAAACGTTTAAACTATTTACTCAAAAACAAAAGCTTTTGTGATTCAAATTCACACTGCCAAGTCTATCTCTGTTATCTACTAAGTTGACTTGTTTGGATAATGTTAATAAATCGACAAATACTGTAGCTATTTAGGCATTGCTTTAGCAATCTAGTGTTCAGTCTGGCTTTATCTTGTATGTAATGCAGACTTTTCACAATTCAGTTATTTTTTTTCTGATTTACTATCATCTTTCACTCTGAAATATGTCAAATATGGAAGTAAAATGTGTTGTACATGGCAATTCAAATAAATATTAAAGGGGTCATGTGATGCGATTTCAATTTTTTCTTTCTCTTTGAAGTGATACAAGCTCTTGGTGCATAAAGAAGATCTGTAAAGTTGCAAAGACTAAAGTCTCAAATCCAAATAGATATTCTTTATAAAA